AGAGAGAGAATTTTTAATATTTATTTTTTAGTTCTCGGCGGACACAACATCTTTGTTGGTATGTGGTGCTGAGGATCGAACCCGGGCCGCATGCATGCCAGGCGAGCGCGCTACCGCTGAGCCACATCTCCAGCCCCCAGCTCCTATCCATTTTTTAAGTTCAAGCTACCCTAAATATTATGATATGAACTTCCCTGATTCTAAGCTCCCATTCTTTTTTTTTGTAACATTCACATCTTACTTGCCACATTCTGTTATTCTATGATTCATGCTCAAAATACATCATTGAACATAATGTGCTTCCTCATGAATACTTATATATTTAGGTTTGAGTTCATTTTTATTGCTGCAATTCTATTGCAGTTATTTGGGGAGAGAACTACTTTTTGTTTTGTTTAACTTTTGAGATCTATAAACATTCAGGTATGTTGTGTTTCTAAGATTGAGGGGTTGTTTGACTCAGTTCTTGGTGCCCAGTTCTAGACTTTGTTGTGTGTATTAGATATCTATTACAGTATGCAAAACCACTCCAAAACTTAGTGTTTTAAAATAATAAACATTTACTCTCCTATAGTTTTGTGGATCTATAATTTGTGAGTGGTCCATAATTTGACCCATTTTCCACATGGCTCAGTGGGCATGATTAGTTCCTTGCCATATGAGCCTCTCCATAGGGCTTTTTGAGTATCATTCAGCAGTTGGCTTTTTTTTTGGAGCAAGCGATCCATAAATCGATCAAGGTGGAAACCATGTCTTTTATGGCATAGCCTTAGAAGTCACGTACTAGTGATAACAAGTGACTTACACTGGGTATGATGATGGTGCACACTTGTAATCCTAGTGAATTAGAAAGCTGAGGCAGGAGAATCACAAGTTTGAGGCCAGCCTTAGCAACTTAATGAAATCCTGTCTCACAATTTAAAAAAAGGTCAGGAATGTGGCTTTACCAGTGGTAAAGTGTGTCTGGGTTCAACTCCCAATACCCCTATCCCCTTTCCCCCCACAAAATAAGTGAGTTACTAACTCTTTATGACACTGAAGGAGAAGATAATTGAGCTCCACCTTTTGAGGGAAGACTGTCAAAAAATTTGAGGATATAAAACTCCATTCCACCTGAGTATTTGTTTTCATTTTATTAGAAGAGCTGATGGATTGGGGTAAATTAATTTTACCATGAAGTGTTTTGAATTGTTGCTACATTTATTCTATATTGAATTCTATGTTATGAAATAACAGTGTTAATATGGCTTGTATGGAATGTCAAAAGATTTATGTATCCTTAATTTTTCTACTAATTTTGAGTTTATTTTACAGGGTTATCCTTTGAAAATGTCAAAGTTTTGATGATTTTTGTTTCTATTTTCAGAGCAACAACATATCATTGGATCACTCCCAGCTTTGTCTTATTGCTGTTTTTCTCTGATTCCCTATTTTAAGAAAATGTATTAAGCTACCAGTAAATTATTGAAATAAATGGTTTATTTTTCCCTCTCAGCTGATTTGAATAGGATGCACAGACAAAATATAGATGCCTACCATAACCCAGACGCAAGGACATATGAAGATAAAAGGGCTGTTGTATCTCTAGACCAAAATTTAGCCACTTCAAATGCTGAGAACATAGAAGATTCTGGAAATAAAAACTCAGGTTTTTAATCACATTCTATTTTTTTTTTTTTACATTTCTAAAGTTGTTCAGTAACATTTCTCTTCTATTCTTTGACACAATTCTCATTGTGATTTTTAAAAGTTGGTTCATATGAGTCAGGATATTATTTACAATACTTTTCTAAGAAGTTTTGAAAAAACTAAGAAGTAGTTTTGAAAAAAGTTGAACAGGGAAAGGTTGGTTCTTAATACTATGTTTTTTTGTCTATTTTACCTATTGTTAACATTTTAAATTTACTAATTGGGAGACAATTTTTAAAATCAAACACTTTTTACACCTACAATTTGCTTCTTTTTTAAAAAACTAATTATTTTTACATGAGCTCATTATTATTATTATTTGCATTGCAATTCTTAATATACCTTTATACCACAATTAATCATATCTCTGTATACAAGATATGTTGACAGCAAATTGACATCTTCATACATATATTTTGTACAATGATGAAGGTTTCTTTCTACCATCCATGCAATTCCCCTTCTCCCTCCATTTCCCTCCCACCCCTCTTCCCTATCTAGAGGCAATCATCTTCCCATGCTCTCCCTCCCTACCCCATTTTGAGTCACCCCTCTTATATCAGAGAAGACATTCAGCATTTGTTTTTTTGGGATTGACTAACTTCACTTAGCGTAATCTGCTCTAATGCCACCCATTTCCCTACAAATGCCATGATCGTATTATTTTTTAGTGCTGAGTAATTGTGTATAAATGCCACATTTTTTTTTATCCATTCATCCATTGAAGGGCATCCAGGTTGGCTCCACAGTTTAGCTATTGTGAATTTGCTTCTTATACCCGTGATTACATTAGTGAGAAAGCATCAAGTATGTTATGATAAATTGGACAAGTAAATTTTTTTTGCTTGTTTTAGTGATGACTTACCCTCCCTTATAAAGTCACAGTACAGAAAGAAAAGAATTAAAAGTTTAATATCTGATCACAGACTTCTTTCTTAGCCAAGTATATTTGCTTTATTGTGAAATAATTAAAATTTTCTATAAGTTGAAATTATTCAATACCTTTTTTATGACTTGCCAGAAAAAGTTGTCATCATCTTCCTTTATCAAGTATATATGAAAGTATATAATATATTTAAGAATCAAAAGAAATATAAAGAATATCCCACCTTGCAATATATTTTGATATTTATAAAAGTAACCATTTATTCACTCCCAAATTCTGCTTTTGTACTTTCACAGAACTTTTGATTATAGACTAGAAAAGAACTTTACATTAGGACGTTCTCCTAATAAAATTTTTACAACCTTTTAGAACACCTTAGGAGATGGGTTGTTTGCTTTTTGTGGATAGCTTGTGTCATTATCTGATCTCTAATTATGAGAATATACTTTCTAACTTTGATCCACAACAGATTTTTTTACCTTTGAGCCCAATTTTGATTTTTGGAGTACTAAAATTGGAATCTCTAATTTTATGAAATCATTAAATTTGTTCTCTTACTCTGTAGTAATTTAATGTGTAGTGTACTAGGAACATCAAAACACTTTTTCATAGTATTGCTGCTAAGAGAATTTTGGCTTCTTGTTATTAAGTCTTTTTCTCCTCTTCATTTACTGCTTCTTTAAGTAGTCTGTATTAAGATTTCAGTGCTACAGATCTCTTCTTTATCCTTTTCTTCCATACTTTGTATTGTTTGTAGATTTATCTCAGCCTAGAACTTATTCTTTATTAGTAATTACATTTTCGAGAGTCTAGCTCTGCTCCCCCAGGAAAAACACTTGGAAAATCAATAGTTTCCATGATTCTTTCCCAAGAGCATAAGACTGATGATTGAATACACACAGCAAGATTTGTTGTCTATGGCCTTTCTTTCCTACCACCAGGTTTTTATGCTGGTAGTGTTGCTAGGGATGCTTTATTTTTTAAAAAATCATTTATAAAAATCATAAATGTTTAAAATTTCCTTTTTTGAGAATTGAAAATTCCCTAAGTTCAATTTTGTTTTCCTAAGAATTAGCCTCAAATAAATAAACCTTTTACATACAAGAAGCTATCCAAACCACCTAATTTGTCCTTTGCCATATAAATCCGTATGTGTGTATTATATACACACATACACATTCACACGTGTGCTTACATACACATACATATGTGCCATTTAGTATTTTTTAAAAGGCCTTAGAAAACTTCAAATATATCTGAAAATTGAATGTTTTAATGTATGTTTAAGATTCATTATCCTGGTATGTTTTGTCTTCATTAGGCCTGTTTTTTTAGGCCCTTTATAAAGTTCTATTTTTCTTTTTTTAAAAAAAATTTTCTTATTTTTTTTCTGGATTCTGGATTTTTTAAGTTTATGGTTATTACATGGGCTGATGTTTATAAAATCCAATACTAATTTGGCTTACAATTACATGCCTAGATGCATTCTATTTTCTTTACTTTTTTTTGGTGGTGCTGGGGATTGAACTCAGGGTCTCACACATTCTAGGTAAGCACTATACCACTGAACCACATCCCCAGTCCCTCTGTTTTCTTTATATAGGGTAAATGTTTCCCTATCATTTTATTTTTTTTAAAGTTATTTCTAAAAGAATTTATTTTCTCAGTCTTGAATATTTCTTCATTAATTACCCCCAAAGGTTTAGAATGAGAGTGAACGTCAGGGTGAAAGATAACATTCAATTTTGTTTTATTAATCAGTTTTTCCCCACAGCATAAGACTTAAAAGAACCTTCAAGGTGTATGTTTGGTTATGTTTTCATTAGAAACATTTTCTAGTGGGGAAAAAAAGTATTTATGATGTTTAAGTTTTGACTTGACTTTCTGCTGATCTATTCAAATAAGCCTTATTAGTAAATTTAAATACCAAGGCAAAGTAGGCTTGAATGACAGGTAAACTGCAAAACAATCTGCCTAAATGAAATGACACAAGTGAGGAAAATACGTGCTTTGGATTGATGGTACAAAAAAGGAGTTAGTAATTAAAAAAAAAATACAGTTATATGAGGCTTAAATGTCATTTTTTATGTTTGCATTCAGAGAGATTCCTAGGGGATAATTGCTTCTTCACATTGCTTTTATGAAATAAATTTTCCCTTTAAGAATATATAATAATATTTATAGGTAAAATTTTTAGTATTTATACATATAAACCACTAATTCAGTAGTTTTAAAAATAAAAGCTGTTAAAATGATTAAGATTCATTCTAATTTGTTAAAAATATCTTATGGCTGACTTGCTATCCTATATTTATATTATGGTTGAGAAGAATTTTAGAATTACCTATTTTAAAAAACAATTTCAAAACTTTCAATTGTGTATGTAATACATTTTAATACGTGATTAAGAACTATTCTTAAGCATAGGGTATTCAACTGTATAAGAATTTAAATATGTATTGTTTTCCTCTTAATTTTGGTTTGTAGCTTTTTCTATGATAAGAATTGTTTAGGCTATTAGTTTTTTCATTTCTGTAGTGTCTTTCAGCTATAGTATCATTTTCAACTATTAATTTAGTTATAGTCTTACCATTTTTCTTTTTCTTTCTACTTTTTTTCTTGTCTTCTGATTCTAATCTCAATTTTCCTCTTTGGATTTTCTTCTGGATTCTGTATTTAGCACAGCTTTCCTAAATCAGGATTGATTATCAAATTTTCATTCTTTAACCTTTACATTTTTCTAATGGTTTATTTTTGTAAAATGTCTTATTCAAGGTCATATGCAAACACAGAGCTCTCCTTTTGCTCGGGGAAATATATTTTGTGAACCTCCAACTGATCTTCAGATTAAACAGCAAGAATTATACAAGAATTTTCTTCGTTTTCAGGTGAAAGGCTTATTTGATCATATTTTAACAGTTCCGTAGGAATTCTATAAGCTAATCTTGTAGAGATTTTTTTTTAAATTCACAGGATGTATTTTCAATTCTAAAATCCCATGTAATTATCTAAAATATCTAATTTATACCAAATGTAGGTAGTACCAAAATTATGTTATTACTTCAGATATATCTGAAAAAAAGAAATGAGATATTTTATATATTGTAGTTGACTTTATATTTTCTAATCTTTCTTTCTTTCTTTCGTGTGTGGGGGGATGTTGGGGATTGAACCCAGGGCTTTGTGCATGCAAGGCAAGCACTCCACCAACTGAGCTATATCCCCAGCATTTTCTAAACTTTATTAGGCAATTAGTTAATAAGTCAAAGAATGCTGAGATTTCAAGAATTCACTCAAATATTAGCTACTACCCAAGGGTATTGGTCTCTGAAATTATGTAACACTGCTGAGGATATAGAATCATTTATTAAACTTGAAGTACCTTGTGCTCTATTGCCTACCATGATAACAAGTCAAAATTTAAGTTGCTAGAAATTATTTACCCATGGTCTAATGTACAATTTAACCCTCTCCCAATATCTGCCAATTGTATAGCTTTTTTATTGTTTATAAGATACTGTTTTACATGTAGTATCTCATTAAACTTCAAAACTCTCTGAGGGAAGATATTTTTATCTCTATTTTAATATACATAGCTGATACAGAGACTATCAGGCTTGTCTGTGGTGACAGAGCTGTGAGGCCAGTGCTTGAAGTCAAGTTTCTTGACTTCAGGTATCATATTTGTAGGTACCACATTTATACTTATAGGGACTTGTAGGAAGTCTTTCACTTTGAAAAAAAACCACTAGTACCATATTTCATCACATAATCATTGCAGATATTATACCAAACTTTTTTCTGCAAAACAGTGAAGTGTGATCCTTTTTGTGAAACTTTTTTTAAATTGTTCTGTTATTACTTAAAAATCACCTATTATGCCAGGTGCTGTGGTGCATGCCTGTAATCCCAGTGACTCCGGAGGCTGAGGCAAGAGGATTGGGAGTTCAAAGCCAGCCTCAGCAATTTAGTGAGGCCCTGAGCAACTTAGTAAGACCCTGTCTCAAAATAAAACAGAAATGGCTAGGGAGGTGGCTCACTGGTTAAGGGTCCCTGGGTTCAATCCTTGGTACCTAAAAAAAAAAAAAAAAAAACACTTGTTATTAAACTGTCTTGTGCAAGATTAGAATGCTTGAGATAACTCTCATGAACATATGTTAAAATTGAATAATCCAAATTGATACATGTTTAGTAAACATTGTTATTGATTTTTATTGAATGATCTAAATTGATACATGTTTAGTAAACATTGTTTATAACTATTGTGCATTATAGTTGAAATATTACACTTGAGAAAATTTACTAATTTCTCATAGTCTTAGAAAATTTAATTCTCTTTGGCCAAAAATTCTGTACTGCTTTCATTTGTTTTATTATCTGACATGTCGTTCCCAGGATCATGCTTATAAGATGTGCTTAGCATTAATACTTTAGTGCTCTAAATAAATCACACAAGTTGGATTTTGAAAATATACTGACAGTGTCCTTGTGCTGAGAATTCTAGGCTTATGATTATGGTTCATAGTTCATGAGAAGACAACTGAGTGTCATATGCTACTGATGAATACATTGCTGTTCTGTTTACCTTTTAAGTGGTGCAAGGAACAGAATTATACCGTGCAACAATTATGAGATGAAATGTCACAAACCAATTTTGGGACTGAAAAAATAGGGTTTGACAGTTATGTGGTGAATGTGATTATGTGGTAAAAGTGTGATTGTATTAGTTTCAGTTTTCAGTTCTTCTACCGTATAAATCCTCAGTGTACCCTTGAATAAATTGCGTTCATATGATAGTTTTCAAAGTTTTTTTGTAAGAACCTTTTAAAATCTTTTTCCCTTCAAGCAAAATCTAACAAACAGAATTCTAAAAAAAATCTAAAATACCTAAATGGTGTTTATTATTACTATTTACAACATGTATTATCAGACAGGAAGTATCCAAACTGAAATGTCAAATGTTTTAAAATGTTTAATTTTTGCATAAAGATGGTAAGAGAAGCTTTAGTCCAAGATCTGCATAAAAGCTCAAGTTGGTACATCAGAAATCTTCATGCTGTTAAAATTTGTTAATACTTGTGTTTGATTTTTTTCCATTTTTTTAAAGTTGTTGATAGACCTTTATTTTATTTATTTATTTTTATGTGGTGCTGAAGATCGAACCCAGTGCTTCACACATGCTAGGCAAGTGCTCTTCCACTGAGCCACAACGCCTGCCCTTTTAGATGATTTAATTACAGCTTTAAACATAAATTTTAAAACTTAAATTTAATACGAAAAATTTTAACAAAGTGTTTGTAGAACCCCAGTGACACTTCAGCATTATAGAGTTTGAAAACCATGACCTGGAAGATAATTTTCCTCTTTCTGTTGGAGGACTGTGCAGCATTCCTGTTGATATTGAGATTTAGATTTATTAGATGTGTGATCCATTCATAGTTTACAAACTGGTATTTGATTCTGATGGAGAAGAAACCATGTAAGTGTGATTATTTTCATGCAGTAAGAAGAAGGGTTGAATATGAGATTTTTTGGATCGTAAGTGGTGTTTTGTCTAGATATGTTGTATTTGAATAAGAGATCCCCTGCACATTGTTTACTATGAAATACTAGCCTTGTACATATTTAATAGTGTGATAAATATTAGAAAAAGCCTCAGGTATATAAAATCATGGGACATGTGAGACAGTTCTCATTATTGAAAAAAATTGTCAGCACTTAGTAGAGCAACTTTGAAGCTAGAGGAGGAGATGTAGAAAAATATATAATATGAACAACCATAACCCCTATCTGAGGGTTACATCTCTTTTCATGATTTTAAACTAGAGTCATGAATACGTGATACCCATGCTGTCATCTTCCTTGCCTCATTCATGGAAGGTTTAGACTCTTTTAGGGTTCTCTTCCCTTCAATTCTTAGATTGTGCCTTACTTTATTCTCCCCAACTCAAGACTACAGGTTCTAGGTAGCACTTAAGATGAAACTTAATTCTAAATCTTTGTATCCTAAAATCATCTTACACTTTAATAGATTTAGTTTACGTGTTTTTTTTTTCTTTCTTAACCATCCAGTAGGTATAAAAGGAGAAAAGAACATCTTGGGGAAATGGTTCTCATATAAATAACTAAAACATTAATTTCACTGTTTGAGAATACAAATCAAATATAAGAACTTTAAGATATAATAGTAGCATTCATTATAGAATGATATAATTATGAATATTTATCGAGGGCCTTTTATATAGAAGGGATTTTTTCTGCTTTTTATGTTGTTTCACTTTCATTCTTTGAACACTCCTTCAAGGTTTATGTATTAACTCTTCTCCTCAGATGAGAAAATTGAAGACCAGAGAATTTCTTAAGTACACACAGTCTGTAAATATTTGAAGCTGAACTTAAAAAGCTTTTAACAGTGCATCATGTAGCCTTGTTAATAAAATACAGGAAACTGGAAAACTTAGGAACTTTTTAGGAACTTGCAAACAGAGGGGTATAAGTGTTGAATTTGTACGATACCAGGAAAAAGTAAATGCTGTTCTGACTTTTAAATAGTTTTTCAAAATAACAACTAAGTTTAATACTTTAGATTGAAGAAAAGAAACAAAGAGAGGAAGCTGAGCGAGAAAGACTGAAAATTGCAGAAGAAAAAGAAGAAAAACGGCTAGCAGAACAGAGAGCACGAATTCAGCAAGAGTATGAAGAGGAACAGGAAAAGAAAAGGGAGAAAGAGGAGGAGGTGCATTTTTTCCACTACTCTATTTCACTACTTAGCTGAATGTGAAATTGTTGTTTTGACTTGAAAAAAAATGTTTGTTACTTATAAGGGAGAATAGTCTTGAAGTACATTTTTATTTTTTCTTTTTTTTAAATTTTTTTTTTTTTTAAGAGAGAGTGAGAGGGCTGGGGATGTGGCTCAAGCGGTAGCGCGCTCGCCTGGCCCGGGTTCGATCCTCAGCACCACATACCAACAAAGATGAAAAATTCTCTCTCTCTCTCTCTCTCTCTCTCTCTCTCTCTCTCTCTCTCTCTCGAGCCCCCCCCCTCTCTCTCATCCCCAGCCCCCTTGAAGTACATTTTTAAAATATCAGATTAGTATCCATTCACTGGATATTATTTTATTGAGGTAAAAGCTAATTTAAGTGATAAATGATTCTTTTAGTCAAAATGTAATTATAGGCCGGCCAGACATGGTAGTATACATCTGCAGTCCTCTCTACTCAGAGTGAGGCAGGAGGATTGCAAGTTTAAGGCCAGCTTCAGCAACTTAGTGAGAACCTGTCTGAAAATATAAAATAAAAAAAGAGCTGGGATAGTAGCTCAGTAGTAGAGCATTCCTGGGTTTAAAGCTCCTGGGGGGAAAAGCTATATAAACTCATTGAAAATGTCAGAAAAGATGTATTTTATTAAGTAGACAATTTCTTTATTTTAAAGAGCACTGTGTCCTCTACATCTTCAGTTTTATCTATATTTCAGGCAAATAAGAGCAAAACTTTTAAAATAGTCTAGAATGTATACATGAAGTGTATATTTTTCTCTTATTTTTAAAGCAAAGGTTAAAAAATGAGGAGCTCATTCGGTTAGCTGAAGAAAGACGAAAAGAAGCAGAAAGAAAAAAGAAGGAAGAAGAGGAAAGACATAACTTACAACTTCAGCACTACTATGAAAGAGAAAATATGATTGGAGAAGAAACAAAGGTAAATCTCAGACAAAAATGTCAGTCAAACCCATATTTTACCCCATATGCACTGTGAGAATTGTAGAGTTTTTAGAAAAGGGGAGAAAGAGGAGGATGGGCTTGTGTTTTCCTGCTTTGTCTTACTACTGAATTTGGGTGCTATCTACTGAACTTTTCTGTTCGAGGTGCTAATACTGTGCATTGGTAGGTCTTTCTGCCCGATGAATATAACATGTTTATTTACCTTAGACAATTCTCAGTCTTGTTCTTCTGTGATTGTAATCCAAAAGTGGTTTATGGACCAATACTCTGTGAACTGTGTTCTTTTCATAGTAAGACTAAATACAGAAATTGAGAATGTTTTGAAACTTTTCTAACAATTTGTCTAAGTAACTTTATGTCTATTCAGTCTACTAATAAAATATTGGGTTTTGAATTTCATATTACTGGAAATTTATTATAATAATTCTTATTCTGTTTTATACAACTTTCTACTATAGAATGGAAATTCAGAAAGAAATGGTGGTTTGCTACAAACTGGTTTTTGAAAACTGAGTTAAAAGGTTCATGTTTCCTGTTAAGTGCATGAATCAAAGTTGTTAGAGGTTTCTTCTGTAGAAAGATAATTGACTCTGTTTTTTAGTTACCGGGGAATGAACTCAGGGACACTCAACCACTGAGCCACATCCCCAGCCCTATTTTGTATTTTACTTAGAGACAGGGTCTCACTGAGTTGCTTAGTGTCTCACTTTTGCTGAGGCTGTCTTTGATTCTCCTGCCTCAGCCTTCCAAGCTGCTAGGATTACAGGTGTTTTCCACATGCTCGGTGATAATGGACTCTGAAGAAGATCTAATTCACATCCTTACTTAAACTAACAGTTACATTTAAAAATTTGTGTGCATGAGTGTCATTGGGGGTTTGTTAGAAATGTACATTCCTGGGATCCCACCCGCAAGGTATCTGAGGGGAAGATTCAAGGATGTGCATTTTATAGCTACCTTTTTGGGTTTTGATGTTGTTGGCCTGGAGATCATACTATAAAAAACCTTTGTCTATCTTGTAAGTCTAGCCAATTTTGTATAAGAATATTGTTTTCAGGTATTTATGTTTATTCAAACATTATTTATTTAAGGCAAGATTTACAAAAAAGATTCATTTTAACTGTTAAATTACTCTGGTATATTTAGGATGTAGTTTGGTATATTGCTCAGTGTATAGCCTACTTCATAAAACATGAGCCATTTCTGATAGGCTCAACTGTGTTGTTTCATTTCTCATCCCATGGTTTTATGGTGATAGAAATGATAAGTATACACAGCTAGAATTTTGTTGAAAGATCTTTAAAAGAGAATTTAAAAGATCAGTACTTTTTGGTTTGTGTTGTTTATTTATGTTTTAGGAGTGCTAGGTATAGTTTTCATTCTTAGGATAATGTCATCTCATTAATTTATTAATAAATAAAGTTAACTTTTTTTGGAGGGGGGATTACCAGGGATTGAACTCAGGGGCACTTGACTGCTGAGTCACATCCTCAGTCCTACTTTGTATTTTATTTAGAGACAGGGTGTCACTGAGTTGCTTAGCACCTTTTGCTGAGGCTGGCTTTGAACGTGTGATCCTCCTGCCTCAACTGCCTGAGCCACTGGGATTACAGGCATTTTGCCACTGTGCCTGGGTAAAGTTTACTTTTTAGAGAAGTTTTTGGCTCACAGCAAAATTGAACAGAAAATATAGATTAATTTTTATTTTAAAATTCATCATTTAAAAATGAGAGTTGTGAGTTTCCCACAATTGTGTTTCTACCAATTTCTTATGTTTAACAAATGCTACTTTTAAGGAATTATTTTATGACTGTTAGTTTAATTGTGAATTACCATGAAGTTTTAAATCAGCTTTTATACCATTTTATGAATTTTGTTTCTTGATCACAAAATTAACATTACTGCTTTCATGTATTTTTATTTTTTAGCCGTCATATTTTGTATTTATGTATTCCTGATATATATTTTTAATTGCTCTTCAGTTTTTTTGGTTTTGTGATGTATTTTTAAATTAATTTATTTTTATTTCTTTATTGGTTGTTCAAAACATTACAAAGCTCTTGACATATCATATTTCATACATTAGATTCAAGTGGGTTATGAACTCCCATTTTTACCCCAAATACAGATTGCAGAATCACATCAGTTACACATCCACATTTTACATAATGCCGTATTAGTAATTGTTGTATTCTGCTACTTTTCCTATCCTCTACTATCCCCCCTCCCCTCCCATCTTCTCTCTCTACACGATCTTGTGTAATTTAATTCTCTCCCTTGTTTTTTTTTTTCATTTCCCCTCATAACCTCTTATATGTAATTTTGTGTAACAATGAGGGTCTCCTTCCATTTCCATGCAGTTTCCCTTCTCTCTCCCTTTCCCTCCCACCTCATGTCTCTGTTTAATGTTAATCTTTTCCTCGTGCTCTTCCTCCCTGTTCTGTTCTTAGTTGCTCTCATTATATCAAAGAAGACATTTGGCATTTGTTTTTTAGGGCTTGGCTAGCTTCACTTAGCATAATCTGCTGTAATGCCATCCATTTCCCTGCAAATTCCATGATTTTGTCATTTTTTAGTGCTGCGTAATACTTCATTGTGTATAAATGCCACATTTTTTTTTATCCATTCATCTATTGAAGGGCATCTGGGTTGGTTCTACAGTCTAGCTATTGTGAATTGTGCTGCTATGAACATCGATGTGGCAGTAT